AGAAACAAGAGAGCGTGAGAATTGTCACGTGATCTCGATGACGCAACAATATATATATATATATATATATATAAACCAAACAACAACAAATATATACTCAAACATGCTCCTTTCTTTATAATTTTTTTCATTGATTCTCCTATCTTTGCAATATTTCATTAATCAATCGATTGAGGAAGTCCCATTTTTTCCTGAAGTTCCTTCACAAAAAGAAACATTTTTAACTCACCATTCAGCACATACAAAGATTAATAACATGTTGATGTTGATATTGATATGACATTGTAGGAATTGCCAAAAAATGAATAATGTTTGTGTAATGTATTGTTGAAAATAAGCATTTTGATATATACATTTTTAACAATTTACCACTCAGGAATTACAAAGTGTTACAGACAGACATTTGTCCATTAGACATACAGATTTTCATTGTTACCTGATGGATATATATATTTGGTCAAATTGACCTAAGCTGATACGATTAGTGTTAGAGAAGCTAACGGATAAAATAGTAAATTTTTCTCAACACACTTGATAATCATTTGAGATGTTCTAGAAGTTATGTAGCTCTAGTAGGGCTGATAAGTATCTCAGTCCCACATATTGCCTATTGCAAAAACAATTCATTCAATATTTCAAGAAATACTAAAATTCAACAAAACACATCCCTAACACAAATATAAAGTTACACATATTTTCATAACAAAACAAGAGGTCTGAAACAAACTTCAATATTAAATATTGCACTATCTAACACATGACTTTCATATAACAGACATCTTGAAATAACATTTGAAAACAACCTGTACCAGTACAGTACTACTGGACATCTTTCACTAATAGAGCACCCAATATTCTTCTCCATTAGTACCAAAGTTGTTACATGAAAATTGGCTGGAACAATACCTGAAAAAAAATAGTAAAGCTGAAAAGAAAATGGAAAGCATGAATCAATAAAGTAAGAAACTCTGTAAGAATTTAAATTTTTGGATTTTCTAAACTGTAATAGTCAAGGAAGTTGGTTAAAAAGTTAGAAAGTCTCTGAATAAAAGAATTTCTGGAGTTTAAAATTGTTGGAGGGTTTCCTTGGTAATTTGTCAAGTGTAGGGATGTAACTGTTTAAAATAATGTTGCGTCATCGAGACCACATGACTACAGTGACGCCACGTTTCTAGAACTATCCCGTATCTTGGCGAATGCTCTAGTATTTGCTAGATATAGGGTAGTTTGGTATATATAAGAGGGGACAACGTGACGCGAGAGATTAATGTAATGTGAGTGT